CGCATATAACATGCTCACGGGCATTTCGCATGCCCATTCGTGAACATATGTACATACATATATATGTTTATAATCATAAACATATACATATATGCATGGTCACAAGTGCATGCTTCTATGGCTCCTCACAATATATATGTATATTTATAATTATAAATATACATATACTTGCATACTCACACGTGCATGTTTATATGGCTCCTCACAACTGTCACTTATAAATAGAGTAAAGTTAATATTATAAAATTTGATTTAATATATATAATGTGAAATGCTATAGCTATGAATTGTGCTCTCAATACTTTCGAGTTATATTATAATGAATTCAATATGAACGAATCTGTTGCTTATAAAATGGCACCTTAGGTCTACAGCACGGCAGGTTTGTTTAGGGTAGGATCCAAAATCATGGTATATTCCTACAAGGTTGGGAGGGTATAGAAGGAATATCACAACATCTTAGTTCTCGAACCTTAGATAGGATATATATTTTACAATTACTTAACAAACTCATTAAAATTGTAAAATTACATAATGTCTATTGAAGTGAATAAGATATTATTTAAGAAATCCTACAATAATATTAATAAACAATTATAATAATAAACGTCGGTTCGGATTTATTTGCTGCTAGTGAATACCAGTGACTCACATAAATTTACTTGATGTGTGCAAAGTTTTGAAAATTTCTAAATATTCCTTGGATAAAGTTTCAATTTGAATAAAAATTTTCTGTGAGCCCTTCTCCCAGAACTTGACAAGATAGACCCAGGTTTCATAGGATCTCGGCTAATCCAAGTGGGCCTTAAATGCAAGGACAGCAGCCCTTTTATTCTGTTTGTGGTCTATTTTGAGAATACATCAACTACGGAGCACAAATAACATAACACAATGGTACAACTGTCAGAAGAGTGGATATTTGGCAGATCGTGGCTCCAGTCGAGTGAAATCCGACATGCCACCACAACACCGACAGCTGTACACTTAAGTGTACAAGCTAGAAATTGACTCTCCAACAACACCCAAGAGTAAATTTATTTTAATTATTCCAAACGGCGTAATAACACAATGGTTAGAGAAGATTCAAGCTGTGAAGGATTTCCCCATAACCCACGCTCTAACTTTTCCTGGGTTTGATCTTCTGTTGTAGAAAGTTTATTGATGATTACAAGATTTGTTATGAAATGACTCAAAGTATGAGTTCAGCGCTCGAGAAGCTTAATCCAACTTTAAGAAGTGAAAACTCAATAATCCAAAGTTTCAGATAGAAATTCAGAGTTGTTCTCGTGATTGATAGATGGGTGCATAATCGTAAATGGAAAATTAACAAATTCTAACGAAGATTAAAAAATTGGGATGTCACATTGACCAGAGTTGTTAATTTTTGGCAATCCTGACAGTTTTTAGAATTCTGCGAGACTCATAGTATCAAACATTTGCTGATATCTATAAGTTAATAGCTTAAACAAGTTGAGTTATGAAAGTCCAATTGCCTGGTACACGTACAATGTACATCTGCAGCAAATCATTAATAAAACTGAACCCAGAAGCACCAAAATAGCACCGATTAAATTGATAATCGGGGTAGATATGCAATTGGTAGATTACATTGAACTTAAGGATCTAATTACTGAATTTATTCCAAAAGAGCAAGACGAGGAACGTGATCTATTCGGGACGAATGTTCAGTCAGGAGGGCCGAATGTGAGATCGAAAGTCAGACAGACGCAAAGCGGCATTAAGCGTAACTTCAAACTGAAATACCGGATCCGACCACAAAGTCATAGCAACTATCTGTCAAAAGTTTTGATCTCGTCTGAATACATTTTTTTTTTTACCAAGATGTCAAGACCAATTACACAAAATATGTAAGTTATCAGGTTTCACACATTTGGCTAAACAGTAATCAACATCGGACCATTTTATCAAATCGACAGATTTCCGGTCTGCAATGGTATGTAATCTTCGAAGTGCCTGAAACGCTGTTCTTTCTTATCTTATCTTTCTTAACATATTTTAACATCATGTGTCTGTTAAAAGTTAGTGGCATTACATGAATAATTATTTTAAAATATTTTTGATCAGCACTAACAGACAAGCTAATCTAGCCATGTCATATGGACAAATGGACGTCCATTTATTTTTCTATTTCAATGCAACCTTGTCACTCAGCTTAAAAGTTATGTTGATGAAACTTTGAAAATTGGTTTTTGCTATAAGCGTAATGGATTCACTGTTTTTCTAATATATTAACCAAATTCGCAAGAAACTCTTTTTTTTCAAATGTTAAACTTGCTTTATCATAAAGCTCGCATTGGGATAATCCGTCGGTTTTTTCAATGGAAAGTTAAATTTAGTTGGGAACAGGTTGACTCCATTTCAGGAGGAGCTCATTGACAAGCACACGCAAAAGACATCCATTTTTTAGCTGCTGGTCAACAAATCGACGTATAGAACCTAGAGAAGCTCAGTCACAAAACTTTGCTCAACGAAAACTTTTCGAGCTAAGTGCACGTCTTTGCAAAAACTTAAATTTTTTTGTGGAGTAAAGACGACTTTGTCTGAGAAATAGAACCTTGACTGCGCAGCCTTCTCTGCCAGCTGCATTGGCCCTCATTTCATTTTGTGGTCAGCTTACTAACGACTTCTCGATAAGGAGCTCACAACTTTCCGCCTTACCTATCAGATAAGATTGACAATAGCTGGCCAAGCTTGCCTTGCACCGAGTGCCACCAGCTCTGGACTAATCTCCGAGAACTAATGCGGCTGAGATGGGTTGCATATTAATAAACTGCACAAATGTTTGCCTTCTGCAAGTTCAGTCTATTACGACTTTTACCCGGCAGTTGCTCTTCTGTCAGTTTCCCTTCTGCAGAAAACAAGGTAAACATTTTAGACCACCCAGAACCACCCCAACCATTCTCAACTTCCGTTAGCCAGGCCAAGGGCAACCTGTGATTTTCTTCACTCAAACTGATTGCCGTTGTGTTTTGCATAAGGAGTACACACTGTAAAATGCATAAATCCTTGTTGCTTTTGGTTCTGGCTGTAGACCCATGTTTGTCGCACTTTTTATTTGTCAGAAAAGGTTTTAGAATTGTATAGTTAACACTTAGTACTCAGTGCGGTGTGTGCATAAAACTCAGAAAAAGGATGTCGGATGAAGTGTGTCTTTGGTTAAATTTAAGTAAAGTTAAGCTGAATAATCAATACAATGATAAACCTAAATATATTTACACTGCAGTGGGTGGCTGCGTGACTCGACCATTGAAGAAGACTATCAGTAATCCACTTCATTAGTTGAGATCCAGAAACTATGGAAGATATGGTGTTTTCCAAATTTTGGGAGTTAGGCGGTATTAGCGGGAGAAAAAAACTGAATCATCTTGAAGTTAACTATCAATTCACCTTCAAAGTAAAATACTCATATTATTAATATTCGTAGATTTGACAGTGTTTCAGTGTCTAATATTAACAATTCATCAGACAGAACGGATATATACTCCATGTTTAAAGTACCTATCTGTCTGTCTGTTTTCGTGTCCTTATGTGAGTCTGTCTGTATGAGCGAGTTGAGTTTATAAACTAAAAAAGCCAGAGAAATCAAATTTGGAATTAATCTTCTATGCATCTTGTATGCAATTGCAGATTACGATTTTTTTTTGAAATATCGATACATTTAAAATATATTTTACTGTCTGGATCCCTGTCGTAGAAGTACGATTAAAATATGAAGAATAACATTTGTTATGGTCTGGGCCAAGGTGCACCTTTAAGTTTGAATACGTTCCTTTGTAGGTTTTCTTTTTGCCATTGCAATAGCAGAGCCAGTGGGAAAATAGCAGTGGCAAGAGTTAAAACACTTCCATTGTACTCTCTCTATTTGTAGCAATAGTAGAAAGAAATAATACACAAATTTTACTTTTTATAAATGAGAAAGAAAAAACCAACAATATCATCGATTGTTACCTAAGCGCAAATACAAACCGCGGACCTACCCATATGGATAAAATACCTAGACCCTCCTGCGAGTCGAACTTCGAGTTAGGTCAAACTTTTATAAATATAAAAATTACAATTTATTATAAGAATAAAATTAAAGATGACTTCCGCAAGGTTTTATAACAGTTCAAGGTAAACCCTTAATTATAGATAAGTCCCTTAATTATTTGGGACAACGCTTATTCATTACTCATACCGATATATGCTGTAATCTACATATGCTTGTTGATGTGGACCCATCACTTGTGTCTCCTTATAGTGCCACCAAAATAAAATTAAGCGAAATTAAACGCAAGAACAAACCGACAAAGGAGACAAGGATAACAAAGCGAGTGGAGACTGTGAGCCTGGGTGTACGATATGATTCCCTTATTTTAATTTCTTTTTTCCCCTATTTTCTTTTGGCAAGCACACATATGCGTCCCGTTGACAAATAAAGTTTACAGATATGTATGTGCAAGAAGCACATAGTTGCAAACAGAAACAGATAGACTGGGAGAGACTACTGTGCGAGAGAGAGAGAAATGCTGGGAACACATTGAGAGACAGATGGGCAACGCACTCGAGTAAACAATGGAGAACTGAGTGGACTGTGGGGTGTGTGGAGAGGTGGGCAATGGCAATGGGAATGGCGTGCATGAAACACCAACACCAACGACAAGTATGGAGCACTGCTAACACTGCTACACAGACAACTCCCAAATGAAATAGTTTATGGTAAACCGCAATGCGAAAAATGTCACCTCTTGGCAAAAATGAGCAAAGCTAAAGGGCGGGCGAGATTCAAAGAGATACAAAGCAACAGACACAGACAGAGAAATAGATATAGAAATAGAGATGGAGCAGAACTGGCTGAACAAGTGCGGAAGTTGTTTGCGGAGCTGGCAAAAGGCAAACGGAAACGGCCTATTGGGCAATGGCGGCGCCACAAGCGGAAATGAGTCAACTTGGTTGCCATATGAGGCGTTGCTTCTGGCGCTAAGTCAAACACCCGAGCATCATCTTACAATTTCGACTCGATCTTTAATAAGTATGTGCAAATGTACATTGTTCGACTTAAACTAGAGGTTGACCTAAGTAATCCTGAGTTGTAGCACCTGTTAGAGCAGAGCAGAGTGCAGCTTTAGCTCATCTATGGGCCTCGCAGCGGTGGCTCTGTGAAGTCCTCATTTTGGGCATCACACCGCTTGACATCCGCCTCGGTGGGCACCACATCCTTGGCCAACTCGAGCAACTTGTCCAACGGACACTGGAATTCACAGCCGGGTACCGTTAACTTTTGAGCTGGTGCCTTCGGATTATTACGGAAATAGATCTCCACCCAGTATTCGCCGGTTTCCTTGTTCTTATGCAGCTCAAACAGTGCCATGACCGAATAACGTGGCAGCTGACGCTCCCAGATCTTCAGGCCGGAGAGCACGTTGACCACGGTTGAGTCGTGACCCGTATAGATGAACAGCTTCCGCTTATCGGGCTTCAGGGTTGCGTTACGCCTCTGCTGCATTTCGTCGAACATCTTTTTGAGGAATGGACCAGCCTTGATCTTTTGCATCTCGGGCGTGTACACATTGTACACATAGCTCTGTTCAGTTAGGAACTGCATTTTCTCGGGAAAGTACTCTTTAGTCCATTCGGGCAACTCCAGACCCCATTCCTGCTCGGCGAGCAACGTCAGATACAGCGATTGTACATCTTCTGGTTCTTTGAACTCAAGTCCAGTGTGAGCTGCCAGCTCCTTGTACATATCGAGATATGGCTCGATTTCTGTCTTCACCTCGGGTAATTCATAGACATCGTGCAGAGCTTCAAAGTATCGAGGGCAAGGCTTACGCACGAGTAATAGCTATGGAATAAAACACAAGATTGAAACGTAAACAAATTTAAAATTTTAATTGAAATATCAATAATACAACATTCAAGTTTAAATGATGAACTAAATGCAATTAAATAAATGTTCAAATTGAAATTGGAGTTCAGTGAGGCCAAACTGAAAGGTAATCTGTATTGAAAAGAATTTAATTTCACTGAAGACATACAAAAGCGATTAAATACACTAGTTAACAAATGTTGTAAAATGGCAAATTCCTAGAATTTGCCAATATTGCAAAAGACTTCGAGATGCAGATGAATATAAATTCTGACTAAATGAATATGTTTGAAAATAGTGTAAAAATAATAGAGACTCTTAGATTCTGCAATGAAGCATTATAAATGGCTTAAGTTTGTTTTTAGATTCGCTCGAATTAAAAATAAAAGTAAAATGCGAATCAAGCCTTAGCATTGAATTCACGATGAGATGAAGTAAGGCATAAATAACATTCAACTGATGATGCCATCAATATTGATGGATTGGATTGACATACCGTATCCTCATTTAGCTCCTGCGAGAACACTGGAATGGGCTGCCAATTGTACTTGCTGTTCCACTCCATGGGCGTGCCCTTCGGGGGGAAGAAACTGGCCAGCACCGTCTGCAAGGTCATGTGTGTGCGTGGAACTCCCGTTGCCTGTGCGTGCACCAACTGTTCATGTGGAACATGGAGCATGGAGCATGGAGCATGGAGCCAAGCAGAGTAGAGCAGAGCAGAGCAGAGAGCAAAAAGAAATTGAGTGATGAGGCAAGCGCGCTTGAGCTCCGCAATTTGTAAACGTCCGCACTATCAGACACCCGTCCGGCTGTTGCCGGCACGGTTGTCTGGCGGTTCGTTAGTTCGTTGGTTGGGTTACTCACATCGGGACTGTAGTAGGGTGCCAGAAATTTGCCATAACGCTTACGCAGCCAACTCCCAATGTTGAACAGCTCGCGTTTGCCATTCTGAGCGTTGATTTATTGCATGGTATGGGCGGTTGGTACGTGAGACAACAGTCGGGTAGCACACAAATAGAAACAGCAAACCAGACAAACAGGGAGACGGAGACGGAGAGTGAGAAAGACAGAGATGGAAAATGTTATAAAATAATAAATGTCTTGCAATTTGGCAATTGCATAAACATATGCATGTGTATATGTTAATGCAGCACAGAACAGCTCAGCTTCCCCGCCGCATTTTTCCCGTCCTTTGGCCTGACAAACATTTGCATTTCAATTTATTTAAATGCATTGCTGCGTGGTTTTCGGAGTGAATGGGGAGCTGCCAGGTTCTCTTTTCACATTTTCACTTATTTTTCTTATTGTTGCCGTTGTTGTTGTTATTTGAGTAGTTTTTTGGAGAAAAGTTTTGCTGCAACTTGTGCTCAACTCACATTTGTAACTTGTCCCCAGCCAAATGGATAGTAGGTTTCATTTACATGGGGATCCGTGGGATATGTGTCCGCCGGTGTGCGCGGCCCATGTCGGAAGACCTGAAAATTGTACAAATGTATGCAGTGTTAGTTAGCAGTTTGTCAACTATTACTTCCATTCGTTGCTTTAATTAGCCAAACTGATGTCAGCAGTGCTAGATTGTTAAAGGCAAAACTTTCACTATTTAGCATCAGTTGCAGCCTTAGTTTTGAAATTAATACCTATCACGTTTGGAAAATAGCTAATTGTTATTTCTTGATGATGTTGCCTCACTCGACCTGTTGCTCTTTATTATGCAGATTTGAACTCGTATCAAATGTCATAGGCGTCTAGGCAGCGTCTGCTGCATCAGTTGCAACATAGATTTTTAGTCGAGCACGCGACTGTGATAAGCAGCAAAGCAGTAACGAGCAGAAACACGCCGCCTCTTGCTGGTATTACGTATGAGTGCGAGTTTCAATTTAAGATTTCAGATTTGAGATTTGAGGAAGCTTTCCAGCAGCATTTGCTATTTGATTTAAATTGCACGCGGCCAGTTTTCTGATAAGCAGGCGCCTTGTTTGCGGATTGTTTGAAGGTCGGCAGCCTTGGACTGAACTCGTCTGCTTATCTCCAAATCAGTTGAATAGGTTGTCAGTACATCAATATTAGGCGAACTATGTACAAAGTGTCCACATACACATATACACACATATAGTTATATAATAAGAAAACTGAGACGCAGTTCAATCTATAGCCATTTACAAAGCCAGCAGACTGGTTTTATTTTTGTTTTGTTTTGTTTTTTTTTCAGTGTTTAATCAGTCAAAACGAGTAACTTTAATTGTAATTAAGCATGTAGCTGGTTTGAGATTGGTTTGATTTTGTTTTGTTGTTTTGTTGATTTTTTTTGTTTTGAGGCATATGTTACTGCGTATAACCGATTTGTCTGCCAGTTAGACGAAGCGTCCAATATATTATATAGTATATACACACATTACACATCAGGCTAACGCGCGACATAAAATTTTATCGACACAAATTAAAATTTCATAGAGATGCTAAGAGGTAAAATTCCACTCTATGCTTAATATGTTCTACATATCATTATACTATTAACAAAAGTGCTGAAGCGCGAAAAAGAACGCAGCTCACGTCGTATTTCGCAGCTTACTAAACTAAACGACGCAATGGCTGGCTGATTATTAATTAATGTTATTAAAATCACAAATGATCGCTGGAAATTATATTTTTACCCAGTAGCACTGTAATCAGTTATGGCACTTGCATGATTGGCTCATTAAATACAAATTAAAACAGCTGATAGAACACATATCACTTGTCACTTGGCTTGATTTCAGTCCGGCCATAAAACTGCTATCGATGTTTGCTAACTTTAACAAAACCTTCCAATTGATGACACATATTTAATCGCACTTGGCGTTTTTGTATACAATTTTGCACTGAGCGCTCTACAATCATCCACTGTACGTGCTGGCAATGTACTACATTAATAGTGTATGTTGTGGCATGTAATAATTAAAAGCTACAGCTACACTAAGCTAAAAATTGCGACTGTTAACACTTTTCGACGAATATTTATCACACAAATTTGTTTATATATTGTTATCACTGGGTCTTGTATGCCATACAAATTCAATGGCAACTTTATAATGTTAATGTTAGTTGGAATTTGAAATTTGTTTTATCAGCTGCTTTTACGGTAATTTCCTATTCTCGTGAAAGACGTGATGATAGCAAATACTGAACACCCCATACTGTGGGGCTTGGCATTCTCTTGAATTATGGATAAGGCATTGAGGTACAGTTAATTAGGTGCGTATATATATTTATAGATAGAGATAAATAATGGAGAGGAGTTTGTGCTGTCGTGAAAGTAATGAATAACAAAGCAAACCCAGAAGATATGATTCAAGCAACAAAACAAAACATTTAGTCTAAATTAGTTTTATCTATTAAATATAATCCATTGGTCTTTCTTATCTCTGTTTGAGTTGATATGGTTATTATTATTTTTTTTTATAATTTAAGTTGTTAGACGTAGAAATGCATTTGTTATTATTTCAAGCTTGAACCCTCGCTGACAGTGTAATTTTTTCAGCTGTTATTCAACAGCTGCTTTTTTATTGATTTGCCAGTGGCTTAGGGGACTTACCACATGCAACAGCTCAAGCGTAGACTCGTCGGTGCCGGGATCAGAGATCTTGCCCGAAAAGACTGTCGAGTGAGTGAAGCACAAGATCAGCAAAACCAATGCAATTAAGCCGCCCGTCATTGCTAGACAGTGCCTCCTAGTAAAATGCGAACGCGGCATTTTGGTAGTCGCGCTTTATATGGCTTAGGCGGTGCTCGAACTTGGAGTTCTCTGTTTTATTATTATTATGTATATTTGCTTGCTTAGCGCTAATAGCAGGGTTGGAACGTCGTCGTTATATGGACGGCCACAAGCACACAAATCAGAAGATACACAGTCAACTTTATTCTTTTTTCGGCATTTGATTTGATTTGTCTGTTTTCGACTTTTTAATTATGCTGTTCGTAAAACAACAAAGTCAACAAATAAAACGTGTTTGCGTATGGTTAATTTGCAAAGTCGCTATTGGAACGAGTTTTGAGGGCGCCTTTCCTTCATCAGCATTTGAATATACGTATTTTGGGGCCAATTTGTCTTATTCCTCTTATCGCCAATACAAACGTTATTTATAATTGCTTTTGACAAACACAAAGCGCGTATTTGCAATTGGATGGGCCGCGTAATAATTCAGTTCAGTTCAAATCGACTCGCTGATAAGCGAACAAACTTATAACGGATAACGGATAACAACTATTCAACGGAGCACTTACGCCGCACTGTCTCACATTTCGCACACCATGCAAAGCTCACAGAAACGATGTCCAAAACACTCATACTTTTGAAATACGTACGTAATATGTACAGAAATGCATATGTCTTTTATCGTTTCATTATCACCAAAGGCTTTCGTCACCGTCGTCGCTTTCGTCTATTATTAATGTTACTCTTATTGTTGTTGTTGTTGTTGTTACTGTTGTCGAGTGTGTCTATTGTGTGTTGCGTGGCCCGTAACTGATCGTACATTGAGCAGTCGCCCCAACAATGCCCGTACATTTGAGGCGTTTTAAATCGCGGGCGCGACTTGCACTTGTATGGAACACAAGCACAAACACACACACACAGACATACACACACAAACAAACAGACAGACATCCACACACACAGTTAATACACACATGCCGGCAACTTTGACATCTTCGTAATTTATGACCAAAGAGATTCGTCACCAGATTCTCCCCCAGCAGGCTGCAATAAGTCTCAGAACTTTGTTAATTACTTAGTATAAGGAATATCGTTATTGTCGATGTGCTTGTTTTATTAATTTCAACGCTAATTTCCAAATTTAAATTTGCTTGTCGATAATTATTACAGCACGGAAGTTGTGTCCGGTCCTTTTGTGGATTAAATGTATTGTGCTTAATTAACGTAGTTATAAAATGTTTCGAGCATTCAAGTGCCAACTGTTTGGCTTCAAATCGTCTACAGTTTGTTTTATAAGGTCTGTGTGAGACCTTTTAGCGAGCGTGTATTCCAGTTGAAGGTGGGCAGCTTGAGAAATACGGAAATGTTAACAGCTGCAGTATCCAATATATATTAACATAAAATTAACGACTTACAACTCCGTCAAGATTCCAGGTGCAAACAGAGTTGCATATATTATTATGTCTACGAATGGGTGATCGATGCAACATAGTTTCCATTTACTATTATTGTTTATATATAAATATTGTTCATTGGGGGTAAAATATCAGAAAAATGTAAATATATAAAATAAACTGTGTATATATATATACAGTTTAATTTCCAAATTTATTACTAAAATGATGTAATATAGTACTTATTTTGTTTAAGAAAAATTTGCAAATGAGCTGATCACCTATTTTTGTCAAATACAATTTAGGAATTTGCTACGAAAATAACATTGTTATTAATACTTACTTACATATAAAAAGTGATTACTTTTGATAACCAACTTAATGGATTATTCACACAATGTACAATTTTATTTACTATACTATAGAACGGATACATATTTGAAGCCCCACAGAACTATTCGAACCCCCTCGTTAGAGCTTGGAGAAACAAATCACATGCATAATTTACTGGGCTATTCATGTAGCGTGCAATCAATCAGAAGATTTCAAAATCATTCAATATAAAAAAGATTATGAAATTGAGTGAGTAGCTATGAGTATAGAAAGAAAATATGTAGTTAATACTGCTGGCTTAAACAGTATGTCTGATCATTAGTGATAGCTGATCCGAGTCCCATCACTGGTTCCCTTGGCGATGCACAGCTGCTCGTACGGAGCATGGGGCAGTACATCCTTTATTAGCTCCTGGAACTGGGCAATGGGGCACTGTTCGCTGCAGCCGGGCACCTGCAGCAGCTGCGGCGCCTTGCTGGGATCATTTTGGAAGTATATCTCGACAAAGTAGTCACCGCTGCCTTTACGTCTGCGCAGCTCAATGGCAATTAGTGCCGAGAAACGGGGCATCTGCCCCTGCCACACGTTCAATGCGCTCAGCACATTCGATATGGTCCAATCGTGTGCACAGGAAATGACCATCTTTCTGCTAGCTGGCTCCAGTTTTCCAGCTACCTTCGACTGCATCTGCTTGAGCACGTCTTCTAGATAGTAGCCACCTTTAAGCTTACGCATTTCTGTCGTATAGGCATCATACGTATATGACTTGACTGCCAGTGGTCGCATTTTGTCTGGATAGTAGTTTCTCGTCCACTTGGGCATCTTTAGCCCATAGACCTGTTGCGACTGCAGCGAGATGTACACATTCGTCACGTCGTGTGTATAGCTCACATTGAGACCTGTTATGTTGGTCAGCTCCTGCAGCAGCTTCGAGTTCTGCTCGTGCAACTCGACAACCTCCGGCAAGTGCATCACCTCCCACACTGCCTCGTCGTAGCGGGGGCAGGGAGCCTTCTGCCGCAGGCGCTGCAAATAGTCACGTTATTTAATAATACTAAATTAATATTTATATTCATATTAAATTTGTCATTAATATTACTATTATTTTTATAATGATTATTAATTTAATTATGTTTAATATTATTATAATTAATATCATTATATCATTCTTATTATCATTATTATTATTATTATTATTTTTATTATTATCATTGTTATTATTATAGATATCCGGCTGCATATTTACCTTATCAGTTGCCTCGGGCTCAGTATATATTGGTATGGGTTGCCAGTTGAGCAACATACTCCACTCCATGGGAGTATTCTCTGGTGGAAACAGGCCAGCCAGCACTAGCTGAAGCGACATAATACTGCGCGACGATTGCGTGGCTTCTGCGTGGATCATCTGGCAATAGGTTATAGATTAAATATAGATCATTCTTTCGAGACAATAAGACTTACATCCGGTTGATAGTAGGGCGAGAGAATGTCCCTGTAACGCTTGCGCAGCTGTTTGCCTATTTTATAAAGCTCCACTTTGGCTGGCTATTCGGTTATTAATTTATACAGTTATTTATTGTAAATATTGTATACTAGGTTTCTTTGGCTTACATTAGTCAGTTGGCCCCAGCCATAAGGCTCGTAGGTCTCGTTCAAGTATGGGTCTTTGGGATAGGTGCTTACTGGAGTCCGTGGTCCATGTCGAAAAAGCTGAAAAAAAAACATTTTTTAATTAAAAATTTAATCAGTAAGTAGATATACAGTTCTTTCTTATGCAAGCAAAGCATTATTTCAACTATATATGCAATTAACCGGTTAGGTCAATTACTTGACTAAACGCTAGAATAATATCTTTATATACATTTTGTGTTTTATCGATAAACCGGTTCGATCGCTTTTAAATTATGATTTCTCTTCATACACTAAGTACACGCCGAGTGTCCAAAACTGGTCAAAGTCATATTTAAGTTACGTACAGACCTTCTAATGGATTTTAAGGCCAATTATTCTCACTTGCATAACAATTCAAATTACACAAATAATAAATTATGGTTTTTCCAAGAACTTAAAGTGCCTCGCACCACTGACTGAGCATATTTAATATTATTCTCGGCAATGACGTTGTTTAACAAGCGTAATTTTGAGCCTCTTTATAGTTCAATTATAAACATTAAGTAGTTCATAAAGGTGGAAAACAGATTTGATGCATATCTCAAAAATTCACTTAAACTACGAGCAATTGTACTACATATTTTATTATATATATATTATATTATATATCATATAATATATGTTATAATTTTCTATAAGTCTTGCAATTTATTTACCACATGAACAAGCTCTAAGGTTGACTTTGTATTGGCATCTGTATCCTTACTCTCATCCTGCGGCTCCTTTGCCTCCACAATAGCTCCTCTGACTAGGAGGCAACTAGAGCAGAGCAGGAGTCCAGCGAAAAGCTTTGGCCACATCTTATGGGTCTGTAGAGCGTTTAATTTGCGCGCCTCCAGCTACCTCGAAACTCACTCGAATAGTGACTGCAATAATAGAATCCGAGCGATTTTAAGTCGCGATTTTGTAGAACGAAGTCGAGAGAACTGCACAGATGATGTTTGAAAAGCCGAGAGAGAGATACAGCGATAGAGAGAGAGAGAGAGAGAAAGAGAGAGAGAGAGAGAGATAGAGATAGAGAAAGCGAAATGACACTAGCAAACAAACAATACGTAAATAACCTCTGCAGAAAATACCTTTAATAAGACAACAAATTAAATATAATCAACGCAATTAACGACTTTGCCCAACAACAAAAATCACAATAAAAATATAGCAAGCAATTAACTTTTATTTCTTTCTTTTTGAGAGATTTTTATAGTAATTATTGCCGTTTTATGTGTGACCAACGGTCACCGCCTAATACTGAGGTTTCTGAGTGCAAGCATTCAAAACAGTGCCTTGTGAATGAACTATTACTGATCGATTTTGCGTGGCGGCGGTTCCACAAAAGCGGGATTATGAGCGCGACAGCGCTGCTCCATGGGTTCATTGGGCAGCACTGATTCACTCAGCTTGATGAGTCGGTTGAGGGGACACTGCAGTTCACAGTCAGCCAGTTTCAGCTGCTCCAGGCATCCGAATTCATCGTTACGCAGAAAGATCTACAAAGAGTTCGGTACATTTAATGTGAATACAGACCAAGAGTAAGCGATCAATTACCTCCACATAGTATTCTCCTGTCTGGCGATTCTGGTGCGTCTCAAAGATGGCCATAACAGCAAAGCGCGGCATTTGACGCTTCCAAAGACCCAGGGCCGATAATATGTTACCCACGGTCCAATCGTGACCCGTGTAAATGAACATGCCGCGATCCCTCGGCCTTAGGCTGCCCGCCTGCTTCGCCAGCATTTCGTCGTACATTTTGCGCAAAAATGGGCCTCCTTTGATTTTCTGCATCTCAGGAGTGTACGCATTGTAGATGTAGCTCTGTTCGGCGAGGAATTTCATGCGCTCGGGAAAGTAGTCCTTCGCCCAGTTGGGTAACTTATAGCCGAACTCCTGTTCAGCAAGCAGAGTAATGTACAAGGAGTTCACATCCTCTGCATCGCGCATAGGCATCCCTGTCAGGTTGCTCAGCTCCCTCAGCATATCCGCATAGGGCTCCTGCTGAGCAATTACCTCAGGAAGTTGGAAAACTTCATCACGAGCTTCGAAGTAACGTGGACAGGACGTACGCACGAGGAGCAACTGTAAATGAATAATTTTATCCTAAGGTCTTGAGAAAGATCTATTTCATATCTCCATACCGAATCTTGGTCCAGCGGCTCCGATACAATGGGTATGGGTTGCCAGTTGAGCTGCTTGTTCCACTCCATGACTGTACCCCGAGGCTCAAACATGCTGGCCAGCGTAGTTTGCAGCGACATCAGTGCTCGAGGCGATGCGGTGGCCTGGGCATGAAGTCTCTAGATATATACACATAAAAATCAATAAATAAAGGTTGGGCATGGGCACAGCTAGGTAAAACTTACGTCGGGTCTGTAATAAGGTCCCATAAAGTCACCATACCGACGATGCAGCCAGCGACCCATCTCAAAGAGCTCCTTCTTGCCACGCTGCAAAACATATTCCAAAATTGCATTAATGAAATCTCAATTTAAACATGTACAATACTCTTTAAAGGTAGTAGCAGCTAAAAGCTATTAATTATCAATTTTCCAATAAGACCCATTGTTCCAGTGAAAAATACATAAGGTGTAATATTTTCAGATCAATACTTTTTGGATTTTGTGTATTTACTGGGTATCTCCAGATCGGATCCGATTGGTCATAATCTTACCAGCTTACACTTTTAAATGCTAGTTAAAAAAATTAATTTTAAATGTCCTGTAGTGCAAAGTATTTTTTAAATTATTGCATTTGTACCTCTTTAATTAAATATTAAGTTTAGAGAAATGAGATTTACTTTCTGGAGTATCGAGACTCTGAATTTTTCACTACTCACGTTGGTCACATGCCCCCAACCGGTGGGCTTGAAGCTGTCCTTGACATAGGGATCATTAGGAAATGTATCGACGGGTGTTCGTATGCCATGTCTGAATACAATGTGCACCAATTCGAGCGTTGAGCTCGTCGTATTTGGCAACGTTTTGTGGCACTTGTTAAAGCTGTGGCCCGCTGCCCAGGGCGGTTGCTTGGACTCCACTTGACTAAACACACTGATGGCAACAACTGCCAAAATAATGCCAGCAGCCAGAGCGCTCATTGTGAGTATTTGCTTGCGAGTGCAGGGACCGAATATCATTTTGATGGAGTTGTTTCTTATATAACCAAATATTCAGATTATATTTAGGCACAGTCACACAACCGAAAAACCGAGGCGGAAGCAAATGCAGCTGATGTCGCGACGACACCAGTCGAAAGTATCGTAAAACGTGATTTTCGGTTCAAGCTTTGCTTTTGGAGCACTGGATTTCACGTAATTAAATGGACTGCATTTAACTAATCGCAATTTAGCAGTCAACGATTTGTCGATGAACTGTTTGTGGAGCGTTTGCGAGTGACGCGTGCTTTTGCTAGCGTGGCTGGCACTCAAATAAAACCTAGACAAGTGGATGCCGAGAACTTAAAACGAGATAAATCAACAGCCCGCTTGTTTGCGTGGAGCAGCGGGGCTGCACTTGTTATGCTGCGTCAGGTGACTAACATGACTAACTGTAACTGTTGGTAACTATCTAGTTGACTTTCCAGTGAACTATCGTACATAGAGCCGAACGAATTAATTGGGTATTCCACTCAACCATGCAATCATATTAATTCCCTCGTCTATTTATATATCCAGTTTACGCATTTCTTTTTTTTCTGCTGTTGTTTTTTGTTTTGCTTTCGCAATCACTGAAATTTAACAAATTCGCGCATTCGCATAGCCAACGACGATTTTATTTGTATATCTAATTATATCTAAGCCAGTTAAGAGTATTTCCCTGTGCACCGGAACAGAGCTGATTGTTTGCTTATGAGAAGATTTTTGTTAGCAAGTGAGTGCTAATTATTTTAATGAGGAGTGAAACAATCGGTTATATTCAATCTGGCGCTGCGAAATTTATTGCCTGCAAATGAATGTTGTTTATTAATTTGAATTGTTCTGAGACAATAAGGGCAGAGAGGGGAGCTAAGTTATTGTAGGTACATATTGCAAACTATAGATTCTTACTTCATTTTAGTTATATGTTTTCTTTGGTAAGCAGCGCAGGAAAGTCCAACTATTTCATACACTTTCAGCCGCCGTTCGTACAGGTCAATTTCTTATTTATTTATTTAAACAGGTTTTAATAAAAAAAAGATTCAAATTAAAATTGAAATTAAAGTTACGAAAATAATAAAAAATTAAAAAGGAGAAATTAAAAATATAAAAAGAAAAAAAATAGGGATACCATAAATCTGGGGTTATTAAAACGGAAAGTAAAAACGTTAGGAAACAGAGAGAAAGAGATGGATAAGGAGTGAGACATGAGATAAAGAAAAGGCTCTTGGGTGGAGAAACCGGTGAAACTCTTTCATCGAAGGAATCAAGTCTCCGCACTGCACGCAGGAATGAAAATGGTCCAAGAGCCAAAACAACATGATGAGAAGAAGATACCTGGTCAGAAAACTTACTTGGCACTTGAATGAAACCCAACTGATTGCTGAAACTATTCAGCGAACACATCATGAGCAAAAAACTACAAGTGAGCAAGTCCGTTGTGCAGCTCCCTGCTCCACCATCCGTCGAAGACTGAAGCGCCTTCCCAGCAGCGTACTCTGGAGTCTTCGGCTGATATTAGATTTTACGGACGTCGTTATTTTTCGATCCTCTGCCTCTTTATCGTCATAAAAAAAAAAGTAGAACAACAAATAAAATATGGTCATAGAAAGACATTTATCACTAAAAACTCTTACCGGAGTATCTATGCTCATATTGAATCAACAAATTCCCAAAAACAAATTCCAAACAACAAATCCATAAAAAAAATTGCGTTATTTTCGCACTAATTAGTTGAGGCGACAATGTTAATGCTGTCTATTGACTGACACTGAGCTAAGTTGTCATAATTGCCTGTTTGTTTGCTTTATTTAAGCAAGTTGTTTGGTTTTTTTTTATGGATGCAATAGCATATAAACAACAAATCCAACTAAAGAATGATATAAATAAGGTATCTCTATCTCGACAGTTACGCATTACTTGTGTATTATTTGACTGCATTTAGTTCTACGACCATTTACTTGTTGCTAACAGTTCTTTTTAGAATGGTTCTCAAAATGTTCTCCACTTACTCAGTACTCAGCGAATAAATTTGTCCCTGATTGTTTGTAAGTGTTTTATTAGAGTCTAATTAAGAGCAGCGTTTGCACTTACCCACCTCAATGCCTTTGTTGAACTTCCGAAATGTGCAATTAGCTGTTGAAAGATAAAAAAAATTGAGCTGAATAACTTAGACTGGTGACAGCTCATGGCTTCAGTCTACATTCTTGAACTTTTGTCCGGTGTTAGCATTTAGTTAGTGTTTAGTGTACTTAGTTTGATAATTGTCAACATACCTGTGTTGCATTTAGTAGCTACATACAAATTAATTTGTTCAGAAAACTAATCGCTAGTTCAACTAATCAATGAAATTGTCATTTGAATTGCATCAGCTAAAAGTTGATTAAAATAATGGAACAGCTAAATTTGACGACCTTGGGAGCAAACGGAAGTACTTTGTAATTAGATTCGAAATATTTTTGTACTAATTCTTAATCTATAATTTATATAGTGGCTCAATCTAAATCAATGCGTACGTTAATTTTATGTGTTTCACATTTAAGAAATGAATTTAAATCATTAAATCCTGCTAATGCTTGCACTTGTCTTCATGTTAATTTTGCCATAAGCAAACTTGTTGAAATTGTTGTTTCATTTTGCACGAATTGCGCGGAATTGCCATCTTTTTTATAGCTTCATGTTTTTCTTTCTAACAATCGACGGCCAGACCAATTGAACTTTAATCGCTGCTCGCTGTGACTTTTGTCATTGCTTTATCGTTTGGGCGACAACACATTGCAGTCAAATCCCGACTCCTTCCCATCCCTCCCAGTGTCCCTCGCGGACAACAACCTTGTTCAGGGGTTGCTAGTTGCGGACAAAATCCCAAAATCCCTGGCTTGAAACGCGCTTTGTCTCATTGAATAGCCGTTGCCACGCCTACTTTATTGTCCAGATCTGCAACATATGTATATGTGAATGTGTGTGTGTGTGTGTATGGGTGTTTAACTACGACTGTTCGAATTTTTATGCGCGTCTGTTCGAATTTTCAGCTATTTCAGCGAAAAGGCATAAAAACAAAACCAAATATAGAAGAAACAACAAAAACAAAAAAAGCGAAATGAAACACAGGAACTGGCGAATTTGTCGTACAAATCTTTGTAATGGCTCCACTGAGAACTATTTCAATGCGTCGAATCAATAAATTTTGCTAGGCAATCGCATCGCTTTGTCTGACAATTTGGCTGGTATGATTTTTTGGCGCTTCTCCTCCAAAGAGTAGTCGACTGAGTCAATAGTTTGTCTGCCCTAATCGTAATTGCATAGCTGATAAATATTAAAGTCATGTGCAAAGATCCTGCTTCCATTTCTCGACTGTTTGACTGTTTTGCTGTTTGTCTAATGGCAACATTATCTATATATGATTGTTTATCTTTAGCGAATTGGAAAATATCTCTGGCTCTATCTCCAAGCGCTGATCAGCTATGTATGTGAACGTGTGTATAAGGATATCCTCAAGTTGAGCATGTTGGACTTAAGCACTCCTACGTGTTTTAGTAGGCATTTGCTGGGAACTTAGCACGTTTCCAGCCTGCCTTTTTAGCCCACTCGATTGCGTTTCCAATAAGAGATTATTTTATTTGTTTGTTTTTTACAGCCGCTTCAAATTGCGCAGTCCCGTCAATTAAAGTGAAAGTCATTTCGCAAATTGTTATACGAGTGCCTACAAAGTTGTAGGGAGAGATAAAGAGAGACAAGTGACAAATGATGGAGAAACGTATGATTATTTCAATTTTAAAGGGTTCTTAGCGATTTCAGCGACTTCTGCCAGCTTGCAGCTGAATCAGTGGCGTGCATCTGGCATTTTTTAATGAATGGAGTCACGCTCGAATAATCGCATATTAATCAGTTGTTTTAACTTTTCGGAGATGCTTAATCGCGCTCGTATGATGTGCTTTACACAAAATTATAACAAATTATTCACATAATTACGCTTTAATGCCGGCCCTAGCCGCGCCCCAGCATAAAAAACCCCAACCCTCTTTCCCACCTCAAACTACCTCGTAACGCATCAATGCAAAGTAAAATTGTGTGTAAAAAATGTGATAATTAAGTTAAGTCCTCTGGGAATTGACGGACGGGTTGTTGCCGGCCTCTGATGGCTGTTTGACTGCCTTACCAAACAAACACTCACACACACCTACGTGAATACACGTGTATATTACTAAAGGGTTGTGCTTTTATGTGCTGGTACTTACATGCATAAATACGAATACATAAACTCATTGTCAGTTAATTATGTAAAATGTCGGGGCGTATATTTTCATTTTATGCTAGCAACAACAAAAATGATACAAAAAAGGACTTTCCTTTTATTCCAGATACACAAGCGCACAGGTTTTCAATGGACTCATGTACATTCTTCTGAATATGAAATATCAAGGTGTGTGTGTGTGTGTGTGAATTAGCGATGAGCATTTCATTATTATAAGAGCCCCATAAGCAGTTACTCTCTGTGCTGAATTATAACATAATTCCATTAGAAACATTTCTTACATTCTTGAATGTCAACAATATGTACAGTATGTCTATTCCACATTTTCCCATAACATTCCACATTCGGAATGTATGTTGCGTCGTTCACGGAATGGAATCGAGAAATGTTGAGAATTTAAATGTAATCAATCAGCATCAGGCTATCTACTATACTCTATATAATGGTCTGTCATATGAATCATGATTCATGAATATATCTTCTTATTTTAAAATTACCTTTCCAAAAAGTATAAACTTGTATTCGTAGTTATCCCCTAGACATAAATAGGAGCTGCAGAAAAATGCTCAATGTACGAACTGTTTGGGTTGTATATTAATGCTTTATTCATTACATACAATATCCGCATTCCTTGTTTGAAAATGTTTGTTAAATTAAATGAAAATTTTGATTTTACTTATTAAACTAAATGTGTTATAAGTTTCAGTACTAACTGCAAAGGCAGTTAGGCACGGGCACATCTCTAATTTGTGAGTCTCATTGTCTTCGTGCTCTTTTGTGGTGTTGTGTGTTGTTATTGTTGTTGCTGCGGTCTTATAAATTTAAATGATGTTTACCACCCACAGCGTGTCTGTCTCACTTATGAGGTATGGGTTCGGTGGCCATGTGAGAGGTTCGTCTGTTATTTCGACTTGCACATTTGACTTTCTTCATTTGCTTTGTTAATGAGCGTCTCATAATGCATATAATTAAAAACAACAATAGAGACATGAACACAGAGTCACACATACAGAACGGTGGCAATTAGTAATTCTCGTTAGGCAATGGTTTTTC